AAAACTCTCTATTCTCCCTCTTGAAGAGCAGTGGGCAAGACCATCAACATGGAGCGGAGGAACCAGAGTGGGAGAGTAAGTGAGTTTGTGTTGCTGGGTTTCCCAGCTCCTCCGCCATTGCGGGCCCTGTTGTTTGCCCTTTCTCTCTTGGCCTATGTGTTGGTTCTGACTGAGAATACACTCATCATCCTGGCCATTAGGAACCACCCCACACTCCACAAACCCATGTACTTCTTTCTGGCCAATATGTCCTTTCTGGAAATCTGGTATGTTACTGTCACTATTCCCAAGATGCTAGCTGGCTTTGTTGGGCCAAAACAAGGTCGTGGGCAGCTAATCTCCTTTGAGGGCTTCATGACACAGCTCTACTTTTTCCTGGGCCTGGCCTGCACTGAATGTGTCCTTCTTGCCGTCATGGCCTATGACCGCTACGTGGCCATCTGCCATCCTCTGCACTACCCTGTCATGGTCAGTGGCCAACTATGTGTACAACTAGCAGCTGGCTCCTGGGCTGGAGGTTTTGGCATCTCCATGGTCAAAGTTTTTCTCATTTCTCGCCTGTCTTACTGTGGCCCCAACGTCATTAACCATTTTTTCTGTGATGTGTCTCCGTTGCTCAATCTTTCCTGCACCGACATGTCCATAGCAGAGCTTACAGACTTCATCCTGGCCATTTTTATCCTGCTGGGCCCACTCTCTGTCACTGGGGCCTCCTACATGGCCATCGCTGGTGCCGTGATGCGCATCCCCTCCACTGCTGGACGTTATAAAGCTTTTTCCACTTGTGCCTCTCACCTCACTGTTCTGATCATCTTCTATGCAGCCAGTATCTTCATCTACGCCCGGCCAAAGGCACTTTCAGCTTTTGACACCAACAAGTTGGTTTCTGTCCTCTATGCTGTCATTGTCCCATTACTCAACCCTATCATTTACTGCTTGCGAAATCAAGAGGTCAAGAGAGCCCTATGTCATACTCTGCACCTGCACCAAGACCGGGACTCTAAGCCTGGGAAAGCTGGCCAAGGTGGCTAGAGAAGTGTTAAGTCTTAGAAAATCTCTCAAACTTGGAATATTTGTCTTCTATACAGTGGAGCTTGTAGGGCCTAATTCGGGGGCTAGAGTTTCCAAGGCACTACCAGTAGTAGGCACAAGGCACAAATACAGTAGTAGGAAGAGGGATGACTTGTAAGATAGCACCGGATTTCTGCAGGGCTGATTTGTGAAATATAGACTAGAAGTTGGTCCCCTGTGTTTGCATTATTGCAATTTACATAGAGCAGGTTGACCACAAGCAGAAGACATGACAGTACTGAACTCTTTAAATAAATGCAGAACTAGCTCGTCTCAAAATGGCTCTTCCTGGTTTGTTCCTCAGTTGTAGTTCTGAGGCAGAAGGTGTAGAAAAGACAAACAGAAGGAAGAAACAGTTCAAAGGTACACAGGCTTTATGATGGAAAATGATCAGGAGACTTCTAGATGAAAACTATTCTTGCCATAGATGATAGTCTACAAGCTATCAAGGACCCAGAGGTGAGCGTTCTAGTGCAAGTTACAGGGAAAGAACATAAGACTCCAAAACTGTGCTGGCAGCAACTCCTAGACTGCAGGTGTCTATAGCTTCCTTTCCTGGTTTATCCATGTCAGTGCCCACATCAAATTAGGGGCTAAGTGCAGCTGTTCACTTAATCTTGTGTTTCCCAAGTTCACTGTACGTTGCACAGAGGCAGGAATCACATCTGCTTATCCATGGCCCAGAATAGTATGTAGCACTTGGCAATGATGAAGAAATAGAATAAATGTAATTTGGAACCATGTAAACAAGGCATGTTTATTCCAATTGTAGGGAGGACTGGCAAGCTCAGGAGCTAACCCCTCCTACTTAATTAGGGTTTGCAGGTACAAAAGGATACAGTCTTATTGACAGGAAATTTGGTAGTGTGTGTCATCAAAGCCAAAATTATTGAAAGGTTCTGAATCAGAAAGATTTGTATAGATGAGCATTTTTATTTATAATAAAAATATGGAAATACATTACACTTTTACATATATGTTATTAAATAAATTATAATACATATAGTTTATAAATTAATTGGAATACTGCACAGATATTAAAGTAACATGTTTTTATAAAGAGCTAAAGACATATATATATTGCTAATATAATTGATAAGATTTGACTATGGAACAGTATTAAAGGTATCAGACAATTGTTTGTTTAAATAAGTCTAGAAATAATTTGATTAAAATGTAGTTATATTATGCAATAAATCCTTATTCTTATAAGTTTCATTCTGTTGTAAAGACATATTTACCAAAAGGTTTATTTATATAAATGTTTCGTAACCCACAAAATACACAAGGTTATTTGTCTTGACAGACATGGTTAGAGGGTGAAAGCCACTAGGATTTGAAGGAATTTAGCTCTCTGCAGTCAGGCAGGAACCAGCAGCATAAGAGAGCACTGAGCAGCCTGCGTCAAGCTCAGATCAGATGGGGAAACTCCTGTTGTCACAGCCCATCTTTCTGCAGCTTCTGCCACTTCATTCATGTCCAAGGTTACTAGCAAGGATTTCAGACATTATTAACCCCTTCTTATTAAAAGAAAAAATCACTATATATATACGGCCAAAACAGTTCCATAGCCTTATAAGTATGTTGTTATAACAGCTTATTAGTGACCAGCTACAAAGTTCATAACAAGTCTATCTCCTGTCTGTCTGCAGAGGCTCCATCTGGGTGATGGTCTGGAACATGGGTGTCCTTCTCTAGACATCACTAATGTAGCTGCATCGTAAGCAACTTTCCAATTTAACTCTTGTTAATAGGAGGTAAAAACAAGGCATTGACTTCTTTATTGTGCCCTTATCAGTTTTCTAAGCCTTTTACAATAAAGGTGATTATTTTTTAACTTAAAAATGTTTCTAACTAACTTAAAAATTTTGCACCACAGACCTCCCTGTAGCATGGTTGTTACCGATCAGCATTGTCACCTCTTTGACCTGAGTCAATACCCATCCACGGAGGTGACCCACAAGGCCCAACTGACCTCTCATGTCTCACACACTGTTTTCCGCAGTAGTGTATATCAGTAAATCTGCCAGTTCTGCTTTCTACACTGTCTGTGGTGAAGTCTCTCACCCCCCATACCTCTGGCCTACACCACAGTTCTTCTATGAAAAATTAAAAAGAGAAAGATAACTTGGCATCAAATACCCCAGATGTATTATTTTAAACATGCGTGCTTATGACAAAAAAAAGGTTCTTGAATAGATTTAATGTGAATATTATTTTGAACCTAACATAATGAGATGTTAACAAAGATACTATTATCACCAAATTTCAAAAGTTAATAAACTGAGGAATAAGAAAATTTTAGAGGTCAAAGTCCTAAGAATTATGGAACCCAGAAAAAGAGTCATGTCATCTGATTATGTCTCATAATTCTACTTCCAGTCTCTGCACCTGCCATGAATCTGCACTGACACCCCATTGATGAAAGCTTGTATGTTAAACTACTTAGGTTACTCTCACTGGTTTTCAAGAAATTTAATATTGCCTCACATAGCATGCAGGTGTAAAAAGAAATAAAAATATAATATTCACAGTAGATTTATACATAGTCTAAGATAAGTAGATAGAGGTACATCTTCCCTGTCCATGTCCCATGGCCATAATGTGGCAGAACAAACAGAATTTCCCTAGAGCCAAGCAGACCAGGCGTAAGTGAACCTCCAGGGAAGAAGACTTGGACCAAATCTACATAGTGAAATATATTCTCCTGCCTGTTCCTGTCTGTTTGTATTGCTTCTGCAATACCTACCTGGGCAGAGAGCAGGCAAAGATCTTCTAAGATGTGCAAAACTCTGAATCAGCATGTTTTCCCACAATTGGTGCAAATATCAGAATGATTTCGATTTGGGGGAGAAACAAGTGGATCTCGGTGAGTATCTGAGGCTACCAAAGAGACTGGTTGAGCCCAGAAGAAAACTCTAAGAAAAAATGAGGAAAAGTTTGGGAAAATAGAAGTAGGCACTGTTCCTGTTTACAGAGAAATCATGTCGAGGAAAATTATTAAAAACTGCGAATGCAGGGCACACTTGATCCTTTCCCAATTTGTGAAATTCTGGAATTTCAGGAGAAGTGTGAGTTCTTTTGGGTGATGGAACTTTCACAAAGCATACACTTTAGTGTATACATGTTAGTGTATACATGTGTATACATGTTAATGTCTTTATTATCTTTGAGAGTAAACAACGGACTGCAAATGGTGCCTTTTACACTGCAAGGATTTCTATTCACAAATGGTAACAAGCTCTCAAAGTTTAATTCTCTTCAATTTGAAAAACAAGAAAGTAAAAAAGGAAATTCCACATTCTCTTGCTTCAGAATAGAGCCTTTTGCACAGTATTTTTGAGATGAAGGAAGTGGAAGAGAATGTGAAGTAGGAGGAATGTGCTTGGATGTATGAAATGAGTGTATTCATGAGAAAATAAGGAAGCTTTTCAAAGATGTTATAACCTTGAGCTCAAGGACACTGAAGATATTTGGTGCACAGATAACACCTGAAAAATTGAATAAAGGAGAGAGATGAATAAATGTCTTTTAAAATTTTATTTATTTATGTATTTATGCATATTTAACTGGGGTGCAGGCCAAAAGTACAGTGGTCTGAGATGATTCACCAGAGACAGTGGAAAGCGGAACAGGCAGATTGACTGAAATAGACTGCTGAGGGTAGCTGTGGGTAAATCAGGAGAGATCTGTCACACCATGTGGGTCACCACCCTGGCCAGGGATCAAACTCGTGCTGTAATGACTGCAGACAACTTCATAGTGCTGTGCTGTGCTTTAACCCGTTGTGCCACTAGGGAAGGCCCTGTGACATAACTTATAACAGCTAATACTTGTAGAGAATAACCATATGCTAAAGTCCTTCATATGCAATATTATTTGAGTTGCCATAAGACAGTTAAGTAAATTAAACTGATCATGATTATCCCCATTCTGCAGAAGAAATGACTGTACATAAGTGCTCTGTGCACTATTACACACCTGCTAGGTAATGAAATTGATGCTGAAATTTTGCTCTGACTCTAAACTCAGTGTTATTAATCAGTCTGCAAGGGGTAGTATAGTGACTCCTGTGGTTGGAATAATATTCTGTGGAATATTATAATACCCTCAAGAGTAAGAGCCAGGATCTTAGTGCTATACATATTGTTTGAGACCCAAAATACATCCCCTGCCCCCCAGATAAAAACTCTTGGAAAGGTTCTGAGAACTAAGCAAAGAACTCACTAGGAAACCCTCAAGACTGCAAGAGGAGATATGAGGGTGAGAGTAAGGTATAGTCTCTTCCCATCCCACAGGTCACGCTGACTTTCAAATATGGGATAGTAAAGAGAGGACCTAAAGTGCCAATAATATGTATTTCAATGGTTTACCCCTTAGTCCCAGTCATGAGGTACAGCTGAAAATCTCCATTGTTGAAGATTATAAAGGTGAACCCTGACTGGCTACAGCCAGGACTGACTGAATGTAATGAACCTCTGAGAAAAAGACTTGGACCAAAGAAGGTGTGTGTTAACTCTGTTTTCCTGACTCTGTTTCTAGTAATGGTGCTCCAGTATCTACCATGAAGTCTAATGAAAGAAAATATATGTGTATGGGCCCCCAGGGAGTCAAAAAATCTGCAAATGAGTCTACTTTCACATGATCAATGAAAATTATAGAACATTATACATTTGCATGGGAGAAATTGTATGTGCCACATCAAATATGGTGGGCAAAATAATTTGGCAGAAAGCATGAGTAAAGATTTGAAAAGACCCTGAATTCAGATTTTATATATAAAAGAGACATTGAGTGGAGGTACAAACTCATTCATGCATTTTCAAGAGATAAAATGTTGGCGAAATGTTTTCCAGTAGGAGAGTTATTAAGGAACATCCCAAGAGTTAATTTCAATTTTAGTGTTCAAAATTCTACTTTGAAGAAACTGCAATGGATCCAAGAACTACAGCAATGGAGCT